TGTAATGCCACTTCACAAAGGGGAATGTTTCCAGAAATATCACACCCTCAAGCACTTCTAGGAGCATTGGTAAGTGTTCTCCAAAAATTTTAGTATATAAAATTAATTAGGAGATTTTATATTAATTTTTAAAGCGAACAGTGCACAAGTTAGGATAGTAGGTTTAATAATGGCGAACCCAGGGTGACTTAAATATTTAAATCGCCGGTCCGCAATGGGTTAATGCTATGGAGCTTTGTACCCTTTCGATGTCAGATACTGTTTCGAAACGTCATCCCTTCAGTTTCATTTTCAATTTGGGAAAGAAAGAAAAATCATACGGGGCTTAGTCTGGCAAGTTGGGAGGATGGGGAAAGATAACCATGTTGTTGTTAGTCACAAACTCTTGTGGTTTTCAGGGCTGTGCAGGCAGGTGCATTGTCATGATGAAGGAGCCAGTTGAGGTTGTGCCGAAGTTCTGGTATTTTCAAAACATTTTCTCTCAAGCGTCTCAAAACGCCACAGTAAAAGTCAGAGTTGACTGTAGTGTTAGAAGGAACAAATTCATGGTGAACAGTGCCCTTCATGCTGGAAAAACAAACAAACAAACAATGAGCATGCTCTTCGGCTGCGATAATTGTGGCTTTGTTTCTGGATCATAACCATAAATCAAGCATTCATCATATGTTATAATCCTAGAGATAAATACAGCACATGTTCAAATTTTCTGTTCAGATCTCCTGGCAAGCTCCATAATTGATCCCAATGGTGTCTGCGAGCTCATGGATTATTTGGTGACAGTCTTCATGGAGGAGTTCTCAAATTTTTTCAACGTTTTCTGTCGTTTTGCTGGTGCTTGATTGCCCTGAACACATTCGTCATCTTCAACAGACACTCGACCAACCTTGAAACATGTATGCCATTCAAAAACAATTGTCCAGCTTAAAGAATGTTCTCCAAAAGCCTCATGAAGCATTTCAAGGGTTTCAGTAGTGGTTTTACCGAGTGTCAAGCAAAACTTAAAGCAAACACGTTGCTCAATTTTGCTATCCATCACAGACAAAATTAAACAAGAAGTCAAAAAAGCAACTGTATAAAAACAATGTGTGTTCACAGCACGGTGTCACGTGGCAGACTGATGCAATAGGCTTGTGGAAGTGTGACCTTGACCTACCCTCCCATCTTCTTTCACCGAGGCAGTTACAATAACTACAGTCCGGGAATTTTCCGACAGCACCTCGTACATTGAGATATTGGCCTGCTTACAAGAAATTCATCATAAGTGTCCAAAAATGTAGGTGGCCAAACAATGGGTATTAATGCATGGCAAAACTCTGGCAATTGGTCACTGTTTACACAGCAATTCACTAAGTATAGTACTGTGGTCCTGCCCATCCACCATACTCTCTGATCATGCACCATGTGATTTTCAACTCATTCTGCAGAAAGATTGCCACTTCATGTTGCAAGAGATTGTGTGCTGTGGCTACCACATACATTTCAAATAACTATACAATTGCTGGCATAAGTGGGTAGTTGGTGAATTCAAGATATGGCTCTTGTTCCAGAATTCTTCAAAGCCATTGTGTATGCATGCATGTGTGTACGTGTGTGCATATGCATGCATAGCATGAAAAATTAATACCATATAAGGTTCATCATGCAAGACAACAAAAAAGATCAGGGCAGAGACCTAAACAAACCTGACAACACTCCAAGAAGATACTGCATGGAGTAGGAAGTGTGGCAGGAAAGGCAACATGGAAGATAACCTAGACAGACACCCAGAAAGCCCTTAAGGGGGCAGTTACTTTATCAACACCATTATGAAAACTGAGACTCAATAACTAGGAATGGGGCCATGCAAGCAAACAATACCAATGGGATAAAATTATGCAATTAGCATACACGAGAGAAAAATACACTCACCATTCACAGCAAGGACCCAAATACAGGACGTACCTCTAGGCTAGCTTGGAAAGCACTGGTCATGACACTGTCATGAGGACCTGCCCGACTTAGAACAGCCAGGTGAATGTAGAAGATAGTTAGGTAAATGGCGGTGGGGATTGCAGTCAGAACCAAGAGTCTAGTTAAAAGCTGACAAAGAATAGCACCATCCGAGAGCCGCCGATCACTCAAAAGTCGCCAGCAGTCACGCCCCACAACAGAGGCACCAAGGCAACATGAGAAGAATCCCACATACTTCACACTGTCAGAAAGATAATGAAATAATTAGTTGTTTTGAAACAACTTGACAAAATGTGCATTAAAATATTATAAAGAAAAGGTAAAATCATTTCTATCATAAGACAGTCATGTACTATAATCTTTAATATTACTATTTGGTTCATTATTCAGTTATTTTTATATCAAAATGTACGTGTTCCTTGGGTATGTAACCCCTTGAAAAATATTATAATTTCATCTGCAACCAGATGTTCAGAAAGGACATTCTATTTCCAGTATGCGTCATTCAGGGAATTAGAAATATGTCTTAGATTCCATGAAGGTCATTACTGTCAAGAATGTTGTCATTGTTTGGAAAGTTCAGAAATCTAAAAAATGTGAAGAAATGTCGTGTCTGACTCTTATGCAACAAAAACGTGAAACCAGCTGTTCAGCAGTAAACCAACAGTCACTTAAGCTCTCATGTATGTCATGTCCCACTCGAATATGTCACTAGAAACAGAAAAATTCCAAATTCAGTGACATCAAGTAGTGGAGAAGCCTCATCATCAAAGAAACCTAAGTACTGTTGGTAGTACTGATTGGTCTCCTCCACCAACAGTTATAGAAGCTGCAAAATAAAATTTGTAAATGCTGTATGGAGTCAAGTCTGTACATCGGGTGCAACATTCTGTTTCTTGCCAGTCATATCACCAGTGAACTGAAGGATACTGTGGTTTGTCCACTCATCAGCTGTCCCCATGTCAACACCCCTTGAGGTGCAAGTGAGGTTCCAATCAACTTACAGTCATCTGTGCCATTGTCAAGGACACCCATATTTGAGTGGCCCATTGGTTGACCTTGCTTGTACACTCTGTGGCAGGGTGGAATTGGAGCTGATTCTATCACATCATCTTCCTCCTCATCTGTTTCATCACTTCTCCTCAGCTGGCTCTGATTTTCTGTCAAGTATTGAATCTCGTCTTTGTCCAACCACTATCTTTAGAAATTTGTGATGTCATGTCATTATAATGTGACAGTAAAAGGTAAATTTGTCCCAGCGTTCAATTAATTAAGCACTACACCATGAAGGTGTATGGGGGAGTGGATGTATAGATCCACATTTTCTTGACCTTGGCACTAGCTGGAGGTGTGGCCAGCTTCACGACCCGGCCGCTTTATCCCCCACTGGGGAAAGAGCCCAAGGTCCCCACTGAATATGAGGATGGGTGGAACCCAGAGCTGGTCTCAACCACATGGAGGAAATTCTTGACTCTACCAGGATTCAAACTCTGACCCCTTGGTCGTGTAGCTCATAGCCAGTCACTATATGGACTGCACTATGCCACCTCCTATAATGTGACAGTAAAGACAAGAAACATGAAACACACACATTGCTGAGACTCAAATAGAATGATCTGGCTGTGTCTGCTACCTGTCTCACCAAACCCCAATCACTGAGCCTTGAAAGTCATGTTTATCGTATAACACGAATATATCCACTCTTTCTGTTCTTAGTACAGCAGAACCACTGTATGGAAAGGACAGTTATGTTTATGTTGGGTGACTTGAGTTGAGTGGTTAGCAGCTGCAAAGCACACCTGGGATGAAGTGGTGGTCAGTCATGGTTACACACTGCACAGTTGTCACCAAAAGTTTCTGGTACTTTTAAAGAGTTAAATATGAAATCACACTGAAGTGAATAAGTAAAAATAATGAAACTTGTCACAAAATAAACATAAAAGTGCATATACTTACTTATTCTCATGGAGCTGAGCCCTTCTTGAGGAGCCGCCATTTCTGCAGCCACTCAAGAATTTCCCAGAATTTTATATAACCTGATGGTTCATTACCGTGTTCACAAAAGCCCTCCACTGGTCCCTATCCTGAACCAGATCTATTCAATCCATACCATACCATCCCATCCTATCTCTCTAAGATCCATTCTAATATTGTTCACCCACCTAAGCCTTGGTCTTCCCTGTGGTCTCTTTCCTTCTGGCTGTCCCACCAATATCTTATACGCATTCCTCGTCTCCCCCATTCGTGCTACATGACCTGCCCACCTCGTCCTCCTTGACTTGATCATTCTAATTATACTTGGAGAAGAGTACAAGTTATGAAGCGCCTCATTATGCAGTTTTCTCCAACTTCCTGTCACTTCATCCCTCTTTGGTCCAAATATTTTCCTTAACACCCTGTTCTCAAACACCCTCAGTCTATGTTCCTCCCTTAATGTTGGAGACCAAGTTTCACATCCATACGAGTATATAGTACAGACTGCCCATTTAAAAAATTCAAATGCAGGAAAATGGATTACTTCTTCACAGTTCAGTTTTTATTTGGAGCTCACAGCTTTAGAAATCCAATAAATACAATTTTTTTTTTCAGAAACACTGCAATTTGGAAATTAAAGTTCATTAAAAAACCAGACCTCACCTAATATGGCAGTGGTTTGAATACCATTTCTTAAACATTAACAGGCAAATTAGTACCAATATAATGAGCATTTCCTCAGTATCAAATTAATCAGGACATGCAATCAAGCTTACCAGAGAGCACAGGTAAGAGACGCAGCTCCTAAACTAAGCCACAGCCACCACTGCAGGCAATATGGATGGTAGTGATAACGTCGAAACTTCAAAATGCACAACAGCCCAAACAGAGCAAATAGCAACAGCATGGACTCCATCAGAATGAATCTGGACTGAGCCAACATTGCATTATCTGGACACAAAGAGAAAAATGCTTTAACATTTCTAAACACTATTCATGGCAATTACAATCACTAATAATAATGTATATAATTTTTTACTCCCCTCTCAAATTCACTCTATTCCCAAACCATGGGAAGAATGATTTTAAATTCCCTTGATACATAATATTCTAATATGTTAGCGGCATAGGTACATTACATTTATCAAGTATATCTGTAGGCTCTGGGTATGCATGTGGAACATGTGACAACAATCTAATGCTGTGAGAAACTTGTCCATATAAGAAACTGCTATACAGATCTGTGAGCTAAAAAGAAACGTCTAGTGGTAATGTTCATGCACTATATCTAAAAACAAAGGATCATAAATGTCAGAACTTAATACACATGAAAAGGAGGTATGGATGATGTCTGTTTGCAATTACTTGACACATGCCATTGTTTGTTCCATATAACATCCAAACATATGGAATGGGAAAGACTTGAAATAAAAGCCTCCCACCATGTGCACCCAGCTTTGCATATAATACAATGAGACATGAACCAAAGATATTTGAAGGAAATCAAGCTCCCCTGCATGGGGTTGGATTGAAAGGGTCTCAGGGCTCATTCCCAAGCACAAATGGTAACACAACATTTGCTCATTCACCAAGGGATAGGTACGTATGTGATGCGGTCTAATGGATGACTGGTGAATGTTAAAGAAGTAGGTTGGAGTACAACACACATAGAATACTCCAACATGGGGCTGACAGATGGAAATTTTCAGTCCTCAAAACTCAATGATACATAAACCCATCCATTCGGCACACCTGATGTTCCAGTTCAGATGTTGGGACATAAGTGGTAATATATATATACAGATCATTCAAGATGGAACTGTAGATCTGGACTGTAGAAAACAATGTATAAGGTAGACAAGCTTCCTGATCCTAAGCACCAGAGTTCAGAAGAATTAGATTCAACCCAGCACAAATATTCCATTACTCCTGTCAGGAAGGACTACAATTCACATATTACTTCTTCTTCTTCTTCTTCTTCTTTTGCATTAAAATCCCCAAGCATAATAAACGGTGCATATAATGAAAAAACTGATTAGGATACTGATGCTGCTGAAGGAAAATTGATGTTACAAAGAGTAAATGAGATACTAAGTAGATGCAAATGGATGGGAATGATCTGTAATGAGACTGGAGGTTAACTCATATAGAGCAGATGGAGTCCCAAAGTAAAAATGGCCATCCCTTCACTGACTTCCTGGAGATGGATTATGACTGGGTCACAGTAACAGAATACGGCCTGTAAATCAGGGAACTGGAGAGTATGGAAATCATTACGATACCACTGGAGTAGGACCATAATGAATAGCCAGAGAAAAACTATAAAACCCTAAAGCTCACAGCATTTTAATGGGAGACTGTTTCAGTCTCCCATCTGGGTTTCCCCTTAGGAGATCCTCTAGTGAGTCAGACACAACAGAAGGCAACTCCTTATGGTCATGTATGGTCACTGGATTACAATGCTTTCTACAATTACCTGAAAAAGACAAGGATTAAGAAAACTAATTTTTCTTGTGAACTTGTAGCAAAAGATCAAGGACGGTTCGGCATCACACAGATCCAAGTGATACAGACATATCTCTATACCTGGCGCAAAAGAAATGTAATGACTCTTAGCCTGGATGGTGACCTCAGCCAGAGTACATACCGAATTTCAGGATGGGGTTGCGTGTGAACTGGTGCTGGTCTGGACAGGGCAGGCTACAATTTGTGCTGTGGCATCAGTTCCTTGTGGGTGATAAAGAACTGATGCATATGACTGATTCCTGGTCTTTCTTTTATTTTCTATGAATTTTCTTCTAGTATCCAGAAACGTAGGAGCTTCCTTGACCCAAACTTTGTAATGGCCCTCATAAAAAAGGAAATTTTCTGCAAAAGTATGCATACATTCGGAACAGTTAAAACAGTGGTATGAGTTGGGACATAGTGTCCAACTGACCTCAGATTCACCATTAACACCAGTGTCTAGGTTAGATGTACACTGTTATGTTGGCCTGAATTTCTGGAACTGCAGCATCATAACATGACAAAGATGTGTGGACATAATGAGATCCTGTCATAACCAAAGTAAAAAGGAGACATCTGAAAGGTTACAAACACACTTCAATGAGGGAACAGTGTTTCATCCTTCTTCTCAATTAGTCTACAAGTATATGCTTCAAAACAAAATGATCAGCAAGAGCTGACTGCATATCCTAGTCAAATATGCCACGCTATCAACCCCCCACAGAGTTCAGAGAACACAACAGAAGTGTGCCTATTTATATTGTAACATGTTTTGCTACTGTAGACGCCATTCAGATTGTTAATTTGTTTATTTAACAACCTACAAGTCATAGCTACAATTAATTATGACACTGTTACAGGTTTACACACTTTACAAATCCTACTCACAAATTTCTTCAGTAGTCTTCACGTATTCATAACGCGGGTGCTATACAAGTCTCGTGAATTACACACTCCCAATATAACTGTACTACAGCATACATAAAGTCTTGAAGTCACACAATATGTCTTCACTGGCTGACTTCTCAGTTATGGCACACTATCACATAAGATCTTCTAACCACGCATTCGGGTCTTCTTTCCACGACTGTTGCTATATTCCGACTGACTTCTTAGGCAGTGTGGTTCTCTTATAAACCCTCAGCCAGACAATGGAAAATGCCTCGCTTCCCTGTTGCCTAATCGCCATGTTTACAGGTGTTGTCGCCTGTTACATCACAGTGGGAAGTGCTGCCATGTCACCACAGGGGAGGGGGCATCCTGCATAGTGCAAATATGTCACAGTACATATGATGCAGGAGCTGAGAGGGTTGGCTTCCAACAACAGCTCTGCTTGCTTTCAATACGGACTTGTACCATGAATGTTTTATTCTTTAACTGTGACACATCTTCTACCATCCAGGGCCTTCTGTATGTAGTATGGGTTAACAATGTGGACAGTCTTGTCAGTCGTATTGTTGGGTGGACAGAAGAGAAAAAGACATTAGAATCTTCTGGCTAATGCCATTGTGGAGACATCCACTACAACTTGATCTCACAAATACTTCAGAGGGGTCACTCTCCACATCACTGGCAATTAGAAACCTAATGGCAGGTCCAATATCACTGATGAACTGCAACTTTATGATGTAAGCCTACAATGGAATAGTCATCCATGGCTCACCATCCAGTTTTCAATTTTGAGCTACCTGTAAGGACCCACAAGTGGGTAGTACCAAAACCATGGCACGCCACTGAGATAGGAATATCCCAGCTAGCAACACAGGAGTTAAAACCCATAGATGGGGATGAGATGCTAGATGTTTAGCATGGAAATGGAGCAAGTGAAGAAGGAGATCATTATACAATAGTACAGCTAACACACAAAAATGGCAAAAGCCAGTATGAGGGAAAGGAAAACTTAAGCCCCCTCTATGCAGTAGTACAGTATATCACTCTTGACCACCAGCGCAACTAGACCATGCAGGTCTGTGTTTGAAACTCCTGAGGGCAGCCCACCTTCCAACCTAACTTCTGTCCCCCCACCTTCCAACTACAAACAAGTAAAGATGTTTTATTTATTTATTGTGGCACTTTTTTACTCTCACATCTCCCATGGCTCCAGGTGTCTTCACCTTCTCAACTTCTTAAGCTCAAATTAGATCTTGTTTAATAGCCTCTGCACAGACCCAACAGAGAACCTTCTGTGGTTGCAAGCGTGTCTGTTACTGCAGTCATGTGTGGTTCGCAATAGAAAAGTGTTTACCTTGCCACTTCCTAACAAAGGATGACTCTTCTGGCCTTGATAATTAGCCTTTCTAGTGTCATGTAACATTCCTCCCTCCTTAAGACTATTCACCCAAAGTAGCCTGTAAACATACTGCCATTTTCTTTAATTGTTTCTTGCATCCTGTTGTGTATTTAATCAATATTAGAGTCAATTTTACCGACCACACAACATATTTTTATTATTATTACACTACATGTTTCGACCTCAAGAGGTCATCCTCAGGTGTATGAACACAGCTGTATAATTACATGCAATCACATTCATCTTCTCACTTATTCGATCCTGTATCTTATTCAGGCTCACGCTCAATAATATATCAAGCTCTCTCATAAAACACAAGTTAAAATTGTTCTAAAAGTCAAAAGTTAAAATTTAAATTTAAAATTGTTTAAAAAATTTAAAGTTTGTGAATCAAATTTCAATTCAGGACACTTGTTATGCTTTCACTTTCACTTGTATTCAGTCACTTCCTACTTACGTTCATCACTGCGTCAAGTTCACTTTAACTAGTTTAATTATATTATTGATTAAACGTTCATGAATTAAAGTTCAATTTTATTATAGATTGCACTTTTTCACTTTTGGAGGTCTCGCTGTTCTTCCGAGTCCTCTGATGTTGCTGGATCTGTTATGGCCCATGTCGTGATGGCTACTGATCACGACATCACTAGCCATCACGACATGGACCGTAACACATCCACAACTTCAGAAGAAGCAGTAGAACAGCAAGACCTCCAAAAGTGAAAAAGTGCAATCTATAATAAAATTGATCTTTAGTTCATTAAGGTTTAATCAATAATATAATTAAACTAGTTAAAGTGAACTTGACGCAGTGATGAACGTAAGTAGGAAGTGACTGAATACAAGTGAAAGTGAAAGCATAACAAGTGTCCTGAATTGAAATTTGATTCACAAACTTTAAATTTTTTAAACAATTTTAAATTTAAATTTTAACTTTTGACTTTTAGAACAATTTTAACTTGTGTTTTATGAGAGAGCTTGATATATTATTGAGCGTGAGCCTGAATAAGATACAGGATCGAATAAGTGAGAAGATGAATGTGATTGCGTGTAATTATACAGCTGTGTTCATACACCTGAGGATGACCTCTTGAGGTCGAAACATGTAGTGTAATAATAATAAAAATATATTGTGTGGTCGGTAAAATTGATTCTA